GTATTAAATACTTCTAAAACTAGTAGGGTTTTATTTTTTCTCCTGGTTTCTTACTGGGGGGGACCCCAGAAGCACACTGAAAACTGCATCAAATTAATATAATTTGTTTTGTCACTATAGATTCATCCTAAAAGAACCACCTTACTCTCCTTTTTTAATTTCCATTACCTCACTGATTAAGAAAGAGAAATTTTTATAAACCGGTCTATTTGATAAGGACAGTAAAGGTGTAAAATACCAACACTGAATATAAGATGCAAATTGGGTATTTTTCTATATTAATTTGCCCTGAATATCTGAATTACAACAGTCTAGTTAATATTCAGCAGAATAAAACTAGCATTGTCCAGAATAATTAGCAGACATTCCTTTTTTCTGTCATCTGGCTAAATAACTTCTATGTGAAATAGTGTAGTAAAATGGCTGTATGACCTCTTTCATATTCACTGAAATTAGGGTGCTGTATTTTTTACTTATGTGGCTTTTAGATTGGACTATTAGAGCAATAAATGGCTAGGAAAGGCTACATACTTGCTGCTTTTTATTTTTTTAAATATTACACTGCTCGTTTTAGGATTCAAGAGCATACTACCATCTGTTAAATCAGATTGCACCCAAAGGAGATGACATTGATCAACTGCCCATTAAAATTGACTTTTCAGGATTTCATGTGAGTATCCAGAAATGGGAAAATAGACTGGAATTATCTGAGACCTCTGTGTATGTGTCCAACATCCTGGTTACCAGGCTGCCCCTGAATCTTCTTTTGTTTTCTAACATGTGCAAGAATTCAGATTCCTCAGTGTTACAAAGGCTTAAATGGGAAAAAACTTGTAAAGTCCCCGAGTGCTGCCGAAACAGGATAATGCATCCTGCAGTCTGAAGTGTGGAGCTGTGTTTTACTTGGAGTAGTGTATGTTTATTTTCAGCAGGGTCATCCAACACAAATATTACAACATCCTGCTCAGTCTTCCTCTTTTGGAATTCAGACAAGGAAAAAGAGTAGACTTCACAAACCTTGTGATCCTTCCTCAAACAGATTTCAGAAAAAACACGTGAGCCCTTCCAATAACTAGCAGGACAGTGTGACATCCATCAAGCTTGAAGTTGTAAAGGGATAGAGGGTCTAAAACCAGCCTACATGGATGTGAAAACACTTTTGCCTAAGGTGCAATATGGTGCTCATTGGAAGGGTTGTTCTGAGAATGCATTTGATGCAAAGCTGAACTGCATGCCTGAGATATCTATATATCAATCAGAATCTAAAGTAGAATCTTGTTATTCATTATAATAATGAAACCCATATGCAAAGTTGTTTGCTTACAGGCTTTAGTTCTCTCAAACTTCTTCATAAGGAGAGCTCTGTTTTCTTTGTTTGCTCTTGCTTTGGATTTTTTGGGGAGTGAGAAAGAATAGTAGTTAGTTTTTCTATGTAGTTTCCTACAGTTTATATGATCATGTTCTGAGTTATAAGCCTCAATACAAATAATAAATACCAATGTACAAAACACACAGGTTGCCAACTTACGATGATTCAGAGGCAAAAATATTAAAAGGAAGACAAGCCTGAAGCATTCAAACTTTCTCTTAGGATTTTGGGCATCATCTGTAATTACTGTGCTTGAGAATATCAGTTTAAAGCAGTGATGGTGAACCTTTGGCAAAATATGTAATATGGGAATCAACAGTCTGGAAATGGAAACATAATCACTACAGTTCTGGCTGCAGTTGCTGGGATTCATGAGGAATGCTGTGCTGGCAGCCACAAAAGTGAAGGACAGAAAAAAGGTGGAAGGAAGAGGGGAATTGTCATGTCACATCATCAGCAAGAGACAGCTCAGGCATTGAGGAATGAGGGAGGAACTGACATGGGTCATTTAAAGATTTTCCTACCTGAAGATCTGGTAAAAAACCGAAAATGTGCAGCTACTCACTGCAAATTAATTTTTGTTTGTTTGTTTCTCTTTTTAGGATAAAAATGACTTGAGGAGAGCTGAATACATGCTCCAGCAGGCAGATAAATTGGGCTGCAGGCAGTTTGTAACTTCAGCTGATGTGGTTGCAGGCAACCCTAAACTCAATTTAGCTTTTGTTGCAAATCTCTTTAACACCTATCCAGCCCTACACAAGCCTGACAATTCATCTTACGATCTCAATTTATTAGAAGGTACTCAACTTACTAAGCATACAGAAGATAAGAATATTAGTGATTTATATTTAAGTATTCCTTCTAGGTTGTGATGTAGGATCCCTGTGTGATGGTGCCTGTCTTTTCTCACTAGCAATCAATATAAACCTTAGAAGTGCCTGTTGCTGTGTATATTGTTCCCTGACCAAGTGTTAGCCTGACCAAGTGGTTATTCCTGAATAACCTTCTATTATTCATTTGCAGGAGCAAAAGCTATCTTCCTACTTTCCTTCCAGTTTCCTATGCTTCTTTCCATACTATTTATATATTAGCTGATGCACAAATTCTAGCTTTTCCTAATTTACAGTGCCATACTATGCAGCTTGTGGGAACAAGTTAAGCCAGTAGCACCTGGAATTCAGTTAACCAGAATTCCCAGGACTTTTTGCAAACTCGATGTTTTGATTCACACACTCTTTCTCAGCTCCAAGGCTGAAACACTCCCTTTTGATTCTAATTAACTTTATGCAGGTGCTGCTGGCTTAACTTGTTCCCACAGCAACTGTAATAGTCTTTAAAAGTATTTTTCCCATACTTCACTGATATATATTTGTGTGTGTTTGTTTGTTGCCTTTTAAGGCAGGAAATTTCTTTTAAAAAAAGGCTTCTGTATCAGCAACCTATATTAATCTATTGCATCAACAACCTGTATAGATCCTATTGTAGCAGGGAGTTTGGCCTTTAACTGTACAGTTCAGATCTCTAATGCTAGAGATAAAGGGATGATTGGTAACAGTCTTTGGCTGTTGCCCTTGCTGTGGACCAGCTAATCTAGGATAATGAAATGGCTCCTGCCAGTGTGTTTCACAGTTGTTCACTGATCTCAAAGGAATGTGAGAATCAGGGGTGCCGCACTCGGGAGAATCATCAGCAATGTTCACATATTCCTCTGCACTGCCTTCTCCTGCCTTCCTCTTACTGTTCCTATCAGGTTTCCTTTCCATCTAGGTGAGTCCATCTTCCTTTGCTCCTGTTTTTTCATAATTTGTCTGTGCTGCTGCATCCCTGTGTCACAAATCTTGTATCCCCCAGACCACTCCTGTGTCAGGCTTCCTGCTCTTCTCGCTTCAGCTGGGTGCCAGCTGTGATAGAGGTATCAGAGCACAGTCTTCCCTTTTCAGCTGTGATATCCCCAGTCACTGCAGTCCCTGCTGGCCAGGACAAATGATTGAAGGAAAGGTCTGGTCTTCCTCTGCTGCAATTTTATTAGAAATGTATGCTCTCGCAAATTGATACAGGAGCTGCGTGGACGTGGAATATGTTTAGTTCAGCTTCTGTGTTCTGAAGACAAAGTTGCTGATGTGATTCAAAACACTGAAAACTTGGTCAAATTTGGAAGTTTTCATTGGCATGGCAAAAAAACAGCTGAACTAGTTTCTGGACTTTGCTGAAATATTTAGATGAGATCAAATCTCAGCTAAAAACAGTTGTAAAAACTTAAAATCACCTGAATGCTAGACTACCATTTCGTAATGGTAAATACTGGTCAAAATTAACTTACTATTTATAGTAGATATTTTAGAGATGGGTAATCATGCCAATGCTGTCTGTTCAAAGGCAAGTAGATGACCCTTCTTTGCCCCAAATAACAACTCCCATGGTGTCATGTAGACCTAAACCATCAAAACAGTTATTTTAGCCAAAAGACAATGTTGTTAATGTTTTTTTTCTGTTAATATGTTTTATTTTCTTTCCATAAAGTCCTGTGTTTTTACTGTTATTTTCTCAAGGTAGTGATATAAAATATGACATTAATTTCTCTATAGTTTCATCATAGATTGTCTGTTGAAATCTGACTCATAATTTATAATGCTTTCCTGTTTTGCTTCATGAAATGCAGATTTGACCCCTCCTAATGTAGGTACTGTATTTAGTACTTTTCTGTACTCCATAAAAGTGTTTATTCTGCAATTTTTCTTCTTTTTTTTTTTTTTTTTCCTAGTGTTTAATCATCTCTGTCCTTTTCTGGTTGATTTTTTTGCATTGTTCTTACATGTTTCTATTGTTTTAATATGCCGTCATAAGTAAAAGAGAAGGAAAAAACCCCACAGGTGTGATGCACATAAAATGGGGGCAAGAGTTGCAGTAAGTCAAATGCCATACAGTTATTTCAGTGGGTTTAGCCAGTAAGGGCTTTCCATGAACAAGATGTCAAGCTGTAGGCATGCGTGGGTGAGTAGAGCTTTCTGAAAGTCTTCATTTTCCTGCATAAATTCCATCTTTTCAGTGACTGCTCCACCCAAAGGGTATGATGTGGCAGTTCTCCTGAGTTTCAGATAATGAATTCTGGGCATAAACTGACATCTGCCCTGATAATAGTGAACAAGCCTGGTGATGTGCACTTGTACAGAGAGAGTGTATCCCTCAGGAATATTGACACAACCAAATGAACACTTGACATTGTGTGGGGGTGGAGGGGACAGCCCTGACTTCACTTAATGCACAACCTTTGCATGTTGCTCCTGTTCTGAGGAACCTCAGCACTCTGGAGATGAGGTCATACAGAAAGCTGAGCTCTTGGGGGGAGGAAGAGGAGGGACCTGTGTCCACCCCACCCACCTTTCCTCCAGTGTCAATGTCCTCTGCTGTTGCTTAGATTACTGCAGCCTTCAGGGCTGTTATTGTGAATTACTGCCACTCAGGCTGGCTGAATTTAGAGTGCAATTGCATCTTGAGCTCTGTTGTCTTCCAGAGAGAATCTTAGGTATTTGCAGCTCTTTGGATTCTTGACCCCCGCGCTACGGCTACTCCCCACTCAGTTCCATGGTATAGTGATCTCAAAGAAAGAGATGGCAATAAATATAAAGGATACTACCAAATTTGCTCCTCTCTCTTTTGTGTAGCTCTGCCCCCTTTCTGCAGTTTTCCAATGATTTTGGCTATCTGCTGCACCACTCAGCAGAAGATATGCTCCTGATAGGATCACAAGGTATATTTTGAATAAAAGAATAGAGAGAAAAAATTGATCAGTTCTCAGCCATCTGGAAAACTTACAAACGCTTATGTGTTGCATGATAAAGGGATTTGTTCAGAGTGGCATATTAAATATAGTATGCTGGGTTTAGTTCTTGGATTCCCACTATTCAAAAGGGTCCAGCCCAACTTGCATGCTCTTGCTCCTGCTTGGCTTCTTTGGATTCTTTCAACAATGTTAAGCATGCCTTTTAAAACTCTCACTCTGAGTGCAGTTGCTGAGTATGTGTTTTTGTAGCTAAACTGTTTAGTAAGAGTTCATTAAATAACCCTGGTACTGTCCTTGCAATGGACAAGTGTTCCTAAAAGCACTTTGCCATCAGTACTTTAGGTACTGCTGCTCAATGCTCGGTAACCTTAAACACTTTTAAAAATAAAGCAAAAGGTACTTGCTTCAAAATACTATAACCTCTAAAAATACTCTTTATAAACTTAAATTATATCTCATTCTTGAGTTGTGATGTTTGTTTTTTTTTAAAATAGGAAACTGATATTTTTAAAAACTTTGTCACAAAATGTGATTCTTCTTTTAAATTTTAATGTGGGAAGAAATATGAGAAACAAAGCTGACTGATGACCTTGCAAAATAGTGTTTTTCCTTGTTTCAGCATATATTCATCAGTAACTCTTTAGTTATTTTTACAAGTAAATATTTGAAACAAACACTAGTTCAAATTGCATATGAAAAAACTCATAATTTAGAAAATGTGTCAGTAGGATGAATATAAACTATTTCATAATTACAGGAGAGTAACTGGTAAGCTGGCTGAAACTTTTTAAATAACATTTATTCTGTTAGAAATTGTGAACTACAGCTGAAATTTCTGAAGTCCAGAGCTTTTTGTATAAAAGGGTAAGAGACCTAGATTAAAATTGTAACCTTGATGTAAAAATCAATGTTATGACAATGTTATGCATGGAAAAATAATATTAAAGAGGTTTTCTTTCTAGTCTAAACATAAGTACATGTTTACGCAGTAGTTTCATTTTGGAAAAACATTCATTATTGTGTAGTCAGCCTCCAACTGCAGTACTAAATGAGACAGTTGTCATGCTATATAAACCTCATCAGACAAACTTGGTATCGTTACCCTCTGAGGAGCAAATGAGAACAGCAGAGAAAAATCTTACTTAGGTATTTGTGCTTCAGTCCAGAGAAATCTGTTCTTTCATTGTTTGGGGAGGTTTTCTCCCTCCTCAGTGTCCTCTCTGTTTTCTTAACTGTAGGAATGAAGTGATGAGGTTATTCCAAGCTCACATATTCAGGCAAAATATTTTCTTAAGTGTGCTTCTTTGCTGTAAGAGAAAACAGCTTATGCAGCACTGATTCACAGGCAGTTGGCCACAATTACATTGTTAAAATTTAGGTAGTGTTTATGTAGAAAGTCAATGTACTGTTACAAGCTGTAACTTTATAAAGAGGGTTGGTTTAGGACTCATGGTGGCAATGGATAAAAGCAATGTAAGTCAGGAAAGTGAAGGCTGGGTTTTACTTCCTAATTACTTTTCTGCAGTTCTCATAAGCAGAATTGCTGGTTAAAACTGTGAGGGTAACTGGTCCCCTTGGCAGCTTCACAAATGTAACCAATACATCACTGCCTTGCTAAGTCTCCAGTGCTAAAAACTAAAAAAGTGAATTCTGTTGCTTTTGGGAGGCCCTTCACAAATTAACCCTGGCAGCTTCTGTGTGGAGAGAGTCGAGCTGTAGTGTCTGCAGCTTGGAGCAGTTGCAATATGTGTGTTAGTACTAACTTTTAATAAAAAGATGCCATTTCAAATAGATGTAACCATACTGTTGAATGCAATTGTCACTCATTTTAGTTTTAGGAAATTATTATTAATCATCACTATTTTCTTCATGATATATTAATTACATAAAATATAACAAAAGAAGTCTATTTTAATTCATCAAATTGTATTTACTCAGAAAAATGTAGCCTAACAGTACTCCCACTAGTGCCTCTGTCCCTGTGGCCAGAATTAAGTGAGTCCGAATTGGACACTATTGCCTCATGTGTTACCCAGTATAGACACTGTTAGGGAAAGTATGAACTCATTTTAGGGAGGGAAGGGGGTATGAGGAGTATGAGAGCCATTTAAAGATTGCTTATTAAAGTGTTTTCTCCAATAATTTATTGAGAATTATATTTGTCACCATAGGAGAAAGTAAGGAAGAAAGGACTTTCAGAAACTGGATGAATTCACTGGGTGTAAGCCCATATGTTAACCATTTATACAGGTAAGGGTTTTTTAAAACAATTATTGGACTTCCCTTGGATGACAGGGCAAGAAACAAGGGAAGAAGAGAGGGAAGTTGTATTTCTACTAGAACGGTGATTTCCAGGTTTCCAAACAATGTGATAGGAACTTCAAGACTAGTCTAGCCATCATCTAGAAATACTAGAAAACCTAAGAAGGTTTTTATGTTGTCCCGTCACTCAGTTGTGCTTTGAGTTACATTTTTTTAGAAGTTGAGATAATTGTGGTTTATGATGCGTGGGGTTTTTTCTCAGTAGACTGTAAGGAGCAGTGCAGAGTGGGGTATTCCCTCAAAGGAAGGGCTTTATAACATGCTTTTTAGATGCTTCTGGTCACTTTCAAATTGTGCCAGCAGTTGATTCAAATCTTGTCAATAAAAGATGAGACACAGAGAGAAACTGGGAGCATCTGCTTCCATGTGTATTTGCTGTTAGGTTTCATTGTGTCTGTTTTCTGACCTCTGTAAAGCGATCTGTAGGTAGCTTAACGTGGAGAATTTCATTCAGTGAGTAGCTCAAGGGGATTATCAGGAATGCAATATATAATGGGAAAATAATACTTTTACTACTATTCTTTTTTCACAAGATAAGTACCTTGGTTTTGATTATTCTTTAGCAAAATACATCTGTAGATGCAGATAAAGCATCAGTATTTAACATTTGGAAAAGTCCTGAGGAAACTAAAACTAGATCAATAAATTAAAACTCTTTAGCAGCTATTTTGTCTGTGCCCACTCTATGAAAGTAATTATTTAATTGAAGTTGGTAGAGCCTATGGGTGAGCTTACTTCACTAAGATTTGTGAAAATAATGAAATTAAATGCAGAATTGGATCTATATAATTGCTGAAATCAAGCAATAGAATATAGGCCAGTTTCTCTACAGAGTAACACACATTTTTATTTAAATGTCTGGAATTTTTCAGTGACCTAATTACACTTTGAGGAGTCTCAAGTACTTACTTTCATTACCAGTATGAGCTTTTGTGCTTTAAAACGTTGTTTTCCTCTGGTTTAGTGACCTTTCTGATGCTTTAATCATCTTCCAATTGTATGATATGACTCGTGTGCCGGTTGACTGGAACCATGTCAACAAACCTCCTTACTCACTGCTCGGTGGGAATATGAAAAAGGTGGGTAGATGCTCTGGAACACAGCCCAGCTTCACTGTCTCCTTTGTGCTGATTGTGTTGTCTGGATTCGTGTGCTACTGAGACAGTCCTGGGGGGGGGGAAGAAGAAGAAAGCATATCTTCCAGATATTATCCCAAGGAATAAATAGTAGTTATAGCATATATCACTTTATAAATGTGGACACCTTTTGGCAACATGTATTTTATGGTCTGGTTTGGATATATAAGTGAAAGTTTCAGGTCTGACACAGCTATCACAGCGTGGTGCTCTTATCCTGTGAGGTGTTTCCTCACAGCTGCCCAGAGGATTTGTGCAGGACTTGCAGAATCCAAGTTTTCCATTACTTTTGTGACTGTAGAGGATAAAGATTACTGTATGTTTAAGAAGAACACATTTAAATATTTTTCCAAGTATAGTTTTGATATAGGTGTATTTTAATTCACCGCCCTAGTGAAAGTGAACTTGTTTTTTTCAAATGTGGGAAAAATATAATCATTTGAATATTACACACTTGCATTTATAGTAAAAACTGTGTTATTTTAATCACAGAGGAGGTAGAACAGAAATCCTTCTCTAGCTTCAAATCTCACCATAGGTAACAGTAAGCCAATGTTATTCAAAATACACATAGATTATAGGTCTGTATTGCAGAAATATTAAGGTGTTTTCATTATTTGCACACAAAATTTATTTTTAGATTGAGAATTGCAATTATGCAGTGGAACTTGGGAAGGCAAAAGCCAAATTCTCACTGGTTGGTATTGCTGGACACGATCTAAATGAGGGTAATCCAACTCTGACTTTGGCTTTGGTATGGCAGCTGATGAGAAGGTAAGCTGGGCATAATATATGATAAATGTGTATATATGTGTCTGTGCATGCCTTTATGTGTCTTGTATATCAAGGCAAATTAAGGCCAGTGGTCAGTTCACCCCATGGGTATTTTAGAGAACGATCTCTAAATATCCCTCTTCTCAAAGATAAACTTTTATATGTGTTTTGTAATTTTCCATACTGTGTAGTGATTGAAAAACATTTTACAGCAACTCTTAAAACCTTATAAACTAGAAACTGGGATTAAAATTATAAATCCTACAGCAAGTAAAAAGAGCTCAGATTATTTCATGTTGATTCCATGTATCTTTCTGTAAGTAGAGAGTAATTTAAATATTTGTAAAACTCAAGGAAGAAGTAATTTATACTATAGAAGTTAAAAGGGTAAAAACAATTGTAGGTTATCACAGCTATAGCAACGTAACTATCATAAAATCAAAATCTTGCTAGTGTACTGAAGAAAAAAAAAATTATAAAGTGATTTCAATAAAGTTTTTTATTTCAAATGTTTTCCACAAGGCAGTTTTCTTAGACTGATTGCAAAACACTTAATACTTTTTTTCCTCGGACTATTGTGATTCAGTTTTCAAGGTGACTAGGATGGTAGGGAGCCATTTAAAATCATAAAGTAAAATTAATTATGGTGTGCTGAGTTAAATATATGAAAAAGATGTTACAGTGAATATTATGAGGTTTGGGATACTATTTTTTTCTTGCAACCACTGAAAAAGTGATTTAAAGTACTAAATATTTTATTAGGTAAGGGTACCTTATGAAGAGAAGTACTTGGCATTGTTACTGTGATGAAGTAATATTTTACTTTTGCTTGTAGCTTTGTACTGTTTGAAGAGTTGAGTTCTACTACTTGTTTTAACCTGGGCTCTTGTTTTCTTTACTGAAGGTATACTTTGAATGTACTATCAGACCTTGGAGAGGGGGAAAAAGTAAATGATGAAATTATTATTAAGTGGGTGAATCAGACACTTGCAAAAGCAGATAAGAAAGCTTCAATTACAAGTTTTAAGGTAATCAAATTTATTTACTCTTCCTTCCATATACAATCACACCTGGGATTTTAAACCTGTATGTTAACAGTTTGGCTTTAACAGTGGCTCTCCCATCAGCTATCATAATTCTTTAAGGAAGTGTTTCTGACAGTTTGTGAATCCTCAAAAGTATTTTACGAATTTGTTAATAAGAAAAAGAAATTTAATAGCTGGAATAAGATAGAAAACAAAAACCCCAACAACAAAAAAAAAAAAAGAAAAAGAAGTTTAAGCGTTCAAAGGGGCTTCTGCCTGAAGTTACCAATGTTTTGGGCGTGGCATGTCGTGTATCTTTCAAATTTTTAGATATAGACACATGCTCGTACTGGCATGAAGAACAATTTAGGAAATGCTGAGGGCGGCTCACCGGTTCCACTGAGAGCTGGTTAAAAAGGTGTTCTCAGAGTGACAGAGCCAGGAGAGGGAGCCCAAGGTAACCAGCGACATCTTGTGTCTTGTGACACGTGCAGCAGCCCTGTGTCAACCAGGAGCTGTTCCCATGCAGCAAATAGGAACAAATTGATAAAGGAAGCTTTCCTTCCACATTATTAAAGTGCTAAACGCAAAGGAAGCCAGACGTGTGCCAGATGTGTTATGCTGTGTGAATCTCTAGAAATGGCAGATTAATAATGGCACTTGCATGCAAATATAATATTCTTATACAGGTTCATTGTATAATCAGCAGCAGTTATGTCTGTGATCCACAACAGGAATGTAAGTTAAATATTTGAGAGCTCACTGTGGTATGAACTTTAATTAGGTAAGCTTTATTAGGTAACAGGTAATATAATTTTGTAGAGCAAAATATTCCATTTTCATTCTAGGAGGTAACTTAGATCTTTTCTTAAGAGAGATTGCTGCTTCTCTTATTTCTGCATAAATTGTAATAATGTTGGTATTAAATAAATGAAAGTCTGAAGGGAATCTGTCCCAATATCTTGCTTTTGGTATGCCTGTGTTTTTGGTAGGACATTGCTTGTTTTTAAGGTCATTCAACTGGTGTTTTTAAGATAATTCAACTGGTGCTTGACCACTAAAGATAAGGAGGTACTGATGTAAAGTGACATTATTCAATATTCTTTTTTTTTTTACTACTAATTTTTTTACGATATTCTCGTATATATTGTCTATCACTCTTTGGATTTTGGCATTACTATGGCAAACAGATAGTAGAGAATGCAGAAATGCCTGATATTTTACTGTGGACTATGAAAGCCAAGTGCTACTGAGTTGCCATTAGTTCAGACACTAAAAATGACAAAGGTGTGTCCTATGGTCTTGGGCATATAGTCCATGCATTTAATGTCTTCAAGCAGAATTATCTTAGTATTTTTAGATGTATAATTAATATGATGGCTCTGTGGGATTTCACTGAATTGGGAATCATAGCTCTGACCTGGTGACAGGCAGCTGTGTTGCGTGGCCTGTGCTTGGCTGCTGCTGTCTGCTCTTGGTTTGGCATCAGCAGCTCCTTCTCTGCCCAAACAGCTGGGAAGGAATAATTGCAGCAACAGCACTTGCTTTTTTGAGAATGTCTGTGTATTAAATACGAAACACAGACTGCTCCTAGTAGCTCAGAATACCATCTGAGTTGAAAAATTATAAAAAGGAGCCATAAACTACTGCAGAAAACAGTTCCATGGCAAGAAAAAGAGAAAACCAAAAGTACTGGGGAATGTAAATATCTTGATGTTGTCTTGAAAGTCTGGTCCTTGGACTTCTATCAAAATTCCCTTCCTTCCTTAGGGAAGGGGGGAAGTTTCATCAAATAAATTTAAACCATTGGTGTAATAATCATATCAGCACAGTGAACTTTATAATTCTGATTGCAGAAAAGAACATTAGATCTCATAAAGAGTGAGGAAAACCTTCACATTATAAAGTAACAAAACAGTATGTATGCAAGATGTGCTGTAGAGTCTTTTGCATTATGAAGATGGAATAATCAAAGCAAATTCCTTAAACTAATCTATTGAGTCTTTTTCTTTTAGGACAAATCAATTAGCACTAGTTTACCTGTCCTAGATTTAATAGATGCCATTGCACCAAAAGCAGTTCGTCCAGAAATGGTTAAGAGGGAAGACCTTTCTTACCAAGACAAATTGAATAATGCCAAGTAAGTTTTAAATGAATGCACTGTATTTTCCTGAAATGCAGGAAATGCATGAATTCATGGTGTAATTAACGATTTACTGAATTGTTAAGAGAGAGATTACACTAATATTAACTGATGTGTTTCAAATGAATATATTATAAATTCTAACATTACTGAGTTATTTTTCTAGAGTATCTAAAATATAAACTCAAATTCACAGGTGATATGACCTCCCACCACTGCACTACAATTGGTTTCTGAATAGCCTGCCATAACCCATATTGGTTTTGACAAAAATAAATGCTTTGATAGCCAGTAGGAAAACATCTGCCAGTAGAATTGCTAATATATGCTTTCTAAACAATAATATCCATTTTCTAGTGGAGCCTAAGTACTGACTGAGCAGATGTATCCCACTATTAAAATCTCGTTTTGTTGTTGTGGACCGTGACACATTAGAGATGCCAGACAAATGACAGTCTTTGTTTTCTCTCGTTTTCAAGGTATGCCATTTCGGTTGCTCGAAAAATTGGTGCTCGTATTTATGCTCTCCCAGATGATCTGGTTGAAGTGAAGCCAAAAATGGTGATGACAGTGTTTGCATGTTTGATGGGAAGAGGACTGAACAAAATAAAATAATGAAGACCCGTAATATAACTTTCTGCCACGTTAAACACGATGAATGCCTCACAGTTTACAGAGTTCTGAAGCTTAGTATGAAATGAGAAAAAGTGTATGCACAAATACACTCATCAATTACCTTTTAATAATGTGTTTATATTAGTTAATTTTATTCCATTTCATAACACATGGATTATTTATGGCTAATGCTGTTTTCAGAACCCATTCATTACCAAATTAACATCATAGATTTGTATTGCTTGGAAAAAACCTCACCATATTAATCAAGCTTCATTTGTATTAGTTTTCATAGCATTTTAAGAATCTGCATCTTTTTACATATGTTATTTCAGGACCAATTGTGAAACATTGTTTGATTTTTGTGGGTGTTACTTACATGTAGTCATACACGGTTCAAGGTGCATTCCAATCCTGTCCTATTACTCCAAACTGCACAGAAGTTATCATCCTTGCCTTATTCTCGGAGAGCTTCACTCCTGTTGGAGACAATGAGAGTCTTGTCATTGACTTCAGGGAGAGCAAGTGAAGGCCTATGATAATGTCTGAAAACTAATGAATACTGATTAAGCTGATGAAACTTTTTTTTGTGGGAATAATCTTTCAAAAAAAGTAGTAGTTTTGTTCTGCAGGAACTCTTACAGTCTGTGTCATATGAAAAAAACAGCAATAGAAGGCAGAAATGTCATGTCATCATTAGGTCTGCATATGTATTAAGTTTTGCAGTTGGACTAAACATCTCTTGGTTGGTTTTTTTTAATTTTTCATAAAATATTGTATCAAGAAAACAATAAAGAGCTGGCTAGTCCAGTTTGGGGCTTCATGTTACTGTACTGCATTTCCTTACAGGTCACTCCTTTGATTTTCCTAAATTGTATATCTTGGATGCAAAGGTTTTGTGTAGAAAGACTGGTGCATTGTCTGGATGAGATGAAGTCCATAATTATTTTCTTAGTAGTTTTAAAGTATGTATTTGTACTCCTTTCTCTGCAGCTGTAAATTTTCACTTGCTGGAGCTGGACAGTTAATAAAGTTGTTACCAGAAGCCAAACAATAAGACAACTAAATTAAAATGACAGCAATTTTTTTAAAGTATGAAGCTGCTACTTTCTCTCAGCTCCTGAAACCAGTTCAAAGTGTGGCAAAACCCAAGAATCATGATGAGTGAACAGTTGTACTAAGCTTTACATCTTCAGTATCTCGCACACAACTTATCAACAGTAAGAGATCCATCCATTCAGTTTCTATTATATAAGAGGATAAGTGGTAGTTCAGAGAATTAAATGCTTGGATTTGGATCCAAGCAGCTGGGATAAAAGAGATTCAGGAAGGACACTGAGTGCTGGAGTGGGCCCAGGGAAGGACCATGTAGTTGGTGAAGGGTCTGGAGCACAAGTCTGGTGAGGAGGCTGAGGGAGCTGGGGGTGTTTGGGCTGAAGGAGGCTCAAAGGTGACTTTATTGCTCTGTACAGCTCCAAAAGGGAGGCAAGTGGGGCCGGCCTCTTCTCCCAGGCAACAGCAACAGGACAAGAGGACATTGCCTCAAGCTGCACAGGGGAGGCTTAGATTGGACGTGAAGAAGAATTTGTTCACAGAAAGGGTGATCAGACACCGGAATGAGCTGCCCAGGGAGGTGGTGGGGTCACTGTCCCTGGAGGTGTTTAAAGAGCGGAAGAGGCACTCCGTGTCATGGTCTGATTGGCACGGTGGTGTTGGGTCACACGTTGGACTAGATGATTTCAGAGGTCTTTTCCAACCTAACTGATTGTGTGATTCTCTAAGGGAAAACGCAGAACTGAGAGTGGTCAGGCGGGGGGCGCGGTGTGTGCGCCCCGTGCCTCACCGTGCTCCCTTCGCAGGCAGCCTGCGGGGCGCGGGCCTCTGAGCGCTGCCGAGAGGGATCGGGGGTCGGGGGGTCGCGGACGCCACAAGGCAGCGGCGCTTCCTTGAGCCGCAGCCCCCGCGCTCCGCCCGCCCGCCGGCGCTGCCCTCAGCGCGGGGCCCGGAGCCTGCGCAGTGCGGCGGGGAGCGGCCTCCCGGCCCGGCCCTGCCCTGCCCGGCCCTGCCCGCCCTGCCCCGTGCCCGCCCGCCCGCGGGGTGACCGCGCTGGGGTCACTGCCCCGCTCCCCGCGGGGCCCGTGGGCACCGGGGACCGCGCCGCGACAGCGCCCCTCCCGCGCCCGCATGGGCCTGGCCGAGCCATGGCCGCCCTGTACCAGAGCGCGGACCCCTCCGCCTCGGCCTCGCCCAACAAGCTGCTGGCGCTGAAGGACGTGCGGCAGGTGAAGGAGGAGACCACGCTGGACGAGAAGCTTTTCCTGCTGGCCTGCGACAAAGGTACCGGCCCGGCCCCCCCCCGCGAGGCCTTGGCCGCTCGCCCCGAGGGCCCGAATCCCCCCTGCCCGCCGGCGCCGGGGGTCAGCCCCGCCATGGCCGCGCCTGTTGCCGGGGGCGGCGGGACCCCCGAGCGGGTCCGGCCCCGCCGCCTCCCGCTGTCCCAGAGCCAGCGGCCCCGGGTCCTTCTGCCGGGAAGTAACTCCTGAGGGAGTTCGGTTTGTGCCAGAGCAATTCGTAAGGTATTTATTTGCTGCGTTCGCTGTTAGAAGAGCCTGTGCGTGTGGAGCTGCTGTAAAATCGGGGCTTATCTTAACATCACTGCAATAAGCGCGATCGATATCCTGCGATTTGTATCCGTGGTTATGGACGGGCAGAGATTTTCCTTTCTAAAATATGCTTCTTTATGCCTGTATTTAGTTACCCTCGAGTAGAAATATGGTCTTAAATAAAACTGATGTTAACACGTCTGAAATGTTGGGACTCTGAGATTGGCTTTTACCGATGTGCTGCGCCGCCCTTCGTGCTTGGTTCACAGGCACGGCTGCGGGGTGTTGACATGTGTGCTGGCCCTGAGTTTAGGTTTGCTCGCACCCGTGGGAGTATTTCTGCGGTGACATCAGCCAGCGAGCTTAGGAACTGTGCTCTGCCCGTGAAGGCTGTCCCGAACATCGGATGAAGCCACAGCTTGCTCTCTTAAGTATGAGCAGGGGCTGAGGGATCTAAAATGATGCATGGTAAAAAAAATGTAGAAAACCTAGTTGTCCATATAACAGCTGATTCAGTGCTCTTGAAGGCTCTTTATGTATTTTATTCCACGTAGAAGTATTCTATATATACTTCTGTAAGTATGCTACACTAAGGTCTGTCTTGATCATGGTCTTCTATGCTGCAAAATAATGGGTTACCCCTGAGACAGTTTTGAAAGCTACCCGTGCTTTTGTGTGTGTTTGGAACTAAGGGCGTAGATGAAGTACTTATCTATTGCTTTCCTGAAAAGACGTAAATCTTTAGTTTTTTGCCTGATGAGAGAATGCTTATTTACCTTGACTTTTTGCTTGTCTGTCAGTGTCTTGTTGTCAGCTATGGAATGCTGTCTTGTTTGTGGGTAGCTGGTACTTAAAATGTTCACATGCTTTATGGTAATACAGAATGATATCCGTGCATTACTTGTGCAGGTGACTATTATATGGTTAAGAAACTCCTGGAGGAAAACAGCTCGGGGGAAATGAACATAAATTGTGTGGATGTGCTTGGACGAAATGCTGTTACCATAACCATTGAAAATGAAAACTTGGACATACTGCAGCTCCTTTTGGATTATGGCTGCCAGGTATACAACACGTTATTGAAAATTTTCTGTGTAGTCATATATGTTCTCTGTTAATCTGTCAGAATTTGGAAGGGAATACAATCTGCCTTTATAGGCAGTTCAGTTCTTTTTCCATTTAATAATTGCAAAAGTGGGCTTTTTCCACAAAATTTTACTTTTTTGTAAGTATATATAAATGTATAAGTAACATTTTCAGTCATATGAACAAGTCTGAATTTTATTTTAAATATTATTCCTGTTGCAGATAAAATGCATGCATTATCTTTAAGCAAAATAAACAGTATATAGTCAGTGCATCATGTTAAAAGTGTAAAATGCAGATATCCCTTTGGCTATGAAGTATAATAACTTTTTAAATGGTAACACGGAAAAATGCACATTATATTAGCTGATTTTAAGTTAAGACAAATGTGCATTGCTGCAAGTGCTTTCTTATTAAAGTTGATCTGTGCTTGATGGCAGAATAGTTCCCTGCCAGCAATGCTTCCTTAACTGTATGCAGCATCTCTGCTGCTGCTGGGAGAGTGGAAGCTATGATGGCTTAAGTAAGACAGGGAGAAGTAGCATTTCTTACTACATTTTTTGATATTGGGCATGAATAAAACAACAAGCTTTCCCCTCCCTGGATCAGTGGCAATAATAAAAGCTGTGTCTTTTATTTTTTAAAGTGAAAATTTGAATTTTTGGAAGTGAATTAAAAAGAATAATATCAACTGAAGGGAAAATGAAAAGCTGCTTAGCTCAGCTTAGGAGAAGTTGCAGAAGGAGTTACCAGCCAAGAAGAAAAAGCTACTACAAATGCAGGGCTGAAGTATCTCATAGGCCCAAGCTGTGTCACACAGACACTTGCTTTTAACGTTTTTAGTACCACAGGAAACTGTCCCTTAGAACTTGATTTTTGCAAGTATTCAGCATCATCTTTGCTGGAAAGCAGTTTCTGCAGTTTGTTCTTTTGCTGTTTGTGCAATGAAACAAATTGTCAGTGAGGCTCTGTGAACTCCTGGAATGACAGCCCCCATTTGTATCCTGATCACTGGCCTGGTAATAATGCAGAACGTTGTTTTAGTACTTGAAATATGAATTTAAAATAGTATATTAAAAAATGCAGTTTGCCTTGCATTTGACTCTTTCTGCTGTTTTAAGTTACTGCTGTTTTCACATATGATTTGTTTTCTTTCCTTAGTCATCGGATGCACTGTTGGTGGCTATTGACTCGGAAGTGGTGGGAGCTGTGGACATTCTACTTAATCATCGGCCCAAAAGATCCTCCAGACCAACCATTGTCGTTGAGTGTTGTTAGTCCTTGGTTTTTGGTTGGGGAGTGGGGGCTATCTCATTCTGGGTAGCTGGGGTATTTAAAACAATGTTCTTAAGTTCTGCATCTCCGAGGTGATAGAACCTGGACACTGAGGATCATTTTTGTAGCCTGATTTGTCTGAAAGATAGAATACATTGTTTTGCTTTATGGCCTAAGGAATACAGCACCTTTATACCTGCCAGTGCTAATAGGTGCCTAGTTTGGAAGAGAATGAAAACAGTGGTTATAAATCTTTTCTTGTAGCCTGTTTGCGAGCTGGTTAGCAGCCTTGACCTAGAAAGGGTTTATTCATGTATTGAAGCTTCATAGATTTTTTGAGCAAATCTATAAATGTCAGATCTTCACCTTGAAATTAATCACTTGAAACTTAACTTGGCAATGCTTAATTGTCAGAGAACTTTTAAAAGTATACAACTAGAGGTGGAGGAAGGGAAGGAATAAGGTATTGTGTGACAGAGTACGACACATTCAAGGTATTTTTTCTGCACTTAGTCAATAAAATAATTTTTTCTCATATTACAGCAAGAGAACAATTTTTAATATCACACGTATATTGGAGAAGGCAGACATTGAATGTCAGATTTTCTGTGTAAATAAATCAGAAACATTTCTGTGTCTCTTTCTTAGTATTTATCTGAGAGGTGTTTGAATGTTTTTGCAAATTTTTCCTTCTTGTGTTACGAAACATTGGAAAGCATTTTGAAGAGCAGGTTCACTGTTAAACAGTCAAAAAAACCCTTACATGTAAACAGTGTAGTAGAACTGTGGGTAATAAATTTAGACACTTGCCATGTTTTATTCCAGAAGTTAATGGAACGCATTCAGAACCCAGAGTACTCAACGACCATGGATGTGGCACCGGTCATTTTAGCTGCTCATCGGAACAATTATGAAATTCTCACCATGCTGCTAAAGCAAGATATATCCTTGCCCAAACCTCATGCTGTAGGCTGTGAATGCACACTGTGTACTGCCAAGAACAAGAAAGATAGTCTACGACATTCCAGGTGAGACTCAGCAGTCATAGTCCCTAATAAAAAAATTCTCAGTCCTCAGGTATTGCTTGGGTCAGATTCAGTATGTTTCCTTTTTCTTTTTAAGGTGAAGTTTACCAGTGAATTCCTGTAATACATTGTAGCCCATATTGTGAGAGATGGTAGTTCTTGGAGATGGGTTGTGCTTGAAAAGGCTAGTGAGAAGTAGTGGCTTTTTTTCCATTTTGGTTTTATACTCTTAGTCACTGTGCATATTAAGCTACATGCCTTTCCTTGCTACCAGTTGTGTCTCAAACATTCTGGCTACCTTTGGCTTGGGAGCATAGGGATTATGGAAATAAAATTTTTCTCAAATTACTTAATATTTGGGGGATTTTGAACCAGAATGAGGAGGTAGGTAATTCTGCATCAGGGATTGATGTATGCAAACACTTTTTTTTTCTTTTTTTCTTCAGTATTTTTAAAAGTAGAAAGCTTTTTAATAAAGATTCAGGTGAGGAGAGGGATTTACCAGTCTGGTAAGTATTTTGCCTGGTTAACTTGACAACATGTGTGAAGGTTGAATAAAATTTATATGTAAGAGTTGGGATGAAAAATCACAGAGCTCAAAGATCATAAGGGTACTGCAATTACAATATGCAGTTAATTACTGTGTAATCACTCAGTATGTATGCAAAATACTAAAAAATAAGAGAAGTGAAAACATAATTGTTACTGGTATTTGGCTACTCCAGGCCACAGTCTGGTTTCCATCGTATACCCCATGTTGTCAGCTTCAGTATGAGAAAAGGTGTCAGGGTATCCCAAGCAGACAAAAAATAGAAACATTTGAGATAGCAGCTCTTAGTTTAAACTAGAACAGATAGCATCCTTTTTTTCAGTGTTCTTGAGTCACTCAGTTTGCAAGAGGAGAACATCCCTTCAAACACATTCCCTGATGTTTTTTCTGTGTTGCACATTAAAGCTCCTTACTTCGTAGAATCATAGAATCAACCAGGTTGGAAAAGACCTCCGAGATCATCAAGTCCAACCCTTGATCCAACACCACCGTGGTTACTAGACCATGGCACCAAGTGCCACATCCAGTCTCTGACTTAAAATGTCTGAATTTTACAAATACTCTTACCTTGAGTGATGGCTTTCTGCTGCTGTGCTGATAACAGGGAAAGTAGTGAGGAAAAGAAGAGGGAACCAGTTTGGCCAATTTTTGGTACTTGAGGATTCTAAATATATCATGGAACTGTGTCTTCCGTGACATACCACATTTAATGCTTGTAGTGTCTAATTTTAAGAAAGCAGATTGTTTTGTCTTTCAGCTGCTTATGCAGACCTTTGGAATAGGTTCTGATTTGAAACTGCCAATGAAGTGAAACACCTTCATTTTGCTGGCTGTCCTTCTGTCACAGGTTTCGTCTTGACATCTATCGATGTTTGGCCAGTCCTGCTTTAATAATGTTGACAGAGGAGGATCCAATCCTACGAGCTTTTGAACTCAGTGCAGACTTGAAAGAATTAAGCCTTGTTGAGGTTGAATTCAGGTAGGAATTGAAAATACAAACTAATTTTAATACTTATGAAATTACATGTACAGAAATGTGTAGGCATTAGAAAAGGTTTATTCTTAATTTTTTTTAATTGGAGTGTTTAAACTGATAGACATAATAACAAGTTATATAATATAATTTATGCCTCATTGGTAGTTATTTTGACAGTTTAATGACTTTGAATTCTTTTAGGTGTAGACAGTTCAATCTGTATAGTTGCACCTACAGTTCAAATTTCAGCTCTACTCTGAAAAACAGAAATTATGCTAAAGGCTGACTTATGTGAAAATCACACACCTATTAATCATATCAGTATCTCACCAGTATTCTGCACATTTTTTCCTGTATCAAGATAGAAATATGCAATAACTTGTTTATACTGATCTGACTCATGTTGAGAGTTGTTTAGAGCATTGTTTCTTAAGTTTGCCCCTTATAAGACTTTGAACAGTGCATTTGTGTATATATATATGTGAAATATGCATATATGTGGAGATTTCATATTGAAAATGCTCTATTTAATGAACAAATGGTCAGTATAATTTCATGTTTGAACTATGCAGATTTCTACCATTTTGTAACTTACCAGCACAAAAGCTTTCCAAGAATGTGAAAGCAAGTGTTTATATGAGGTAAAATTCTACTTTCCTAAACAACATGTGAATTTTCTGTGTTTTATCTGCTGGTCTTTCTTAAAAAGAGCTCAATTGTTGCATTTTTATGGTACAGATTGGCACTAAAATGGACTGTGTGCAAGGTGAGACAAGGAAGTCATGTGGTTTCTTTTCCTGTGTTTATTGTATTAATACTTAGTATTCAGTGAATAGAATTTAATTTTCAGATTACAGGAATAAAGCAAAACCCAAAACAACTTCCTGTCAAGTGGCAAGTCCGAGTGATTACTTAGCAGTGCTATGTTTTGTGCCTACCACACTTTCTTATCTCCTGGAAATAATTCTAAGCTTTCATTTTGTATATGAAACTCATGAGATGAGAATTTGTACACTGTAAGTCTGTTTGTCAGTTTTTCTCTAGTGGTCTTGCAAACTAAACTGAAGTGTAATGGTCATGTCACGTGGTGAGAACTACTCAGAGTTGTCTTAGGAGTGCTTGGACCTTGACACATGACTTTTGGGGTGGTTTCTTTTAATTTGTCTGAACATAACAGACAATCCCAACCAAAAATGGGTAGTTAATTATTTAACGGATAATATCAGAACAGCGTAATAGTACGTTCTGCTTCTGTGTCTTTCAGAAATGATTATGAGGAGCTCGCTCAACAGTGCAAAACCTTTGCTAAAGATCTGCTTGCACAAGCACGGAATTCCCGGGAGCTGGAAGTGATTCTGAATCACACATCCAGCGATGAACACGTAGACAAGCGAGGATTGTTGGAAGAGAGGATGAACCTAAGCCGCCTAAAACTTGCAATCAAGTATAATCAAAAAGAGGTTTGTCTTTGCGGTAATTTGATAGACTTTCCATATCATATTTTGCTAGTAATTAATTTAATTTGTTGTTGAGCCTCTAGACATAGAAATGGAAATAAATGTGCAGGAGTTATAGAAGAGATGGTAATACACAGAGTACCAGCATGTAAAACAGGGAAGTGATGCTGCAAGATACTGAGTGTTTCTTCAGTACTTACTGTGGAGAAGAATATGTGGTATTTTCTGTTTTGGAGTATAAACTACTGCTTTTCTATGAACAGCTCTGGTAGTGTAATTATTTGTTCAGATCCTCATTAAGTCCTTGCCTAGGGAGGCATGGATCCTTAGATGCCAAACATGATTTATCATCCTCTCACTAGTCATTAACTGTTCAGCTTTGTCTCAGCCTTGCTGGAGCTGTTCAGTAATTAAGTTGGACCTGTGCTGGTATAACTGAATAGTGCCTCTGTTCCAGAATAGCAGTGCTTTTTATGCCACCAATATGGAACTTATTTCATGCAGTAGATTATTGTCATCTTTGTCCCTTGACAAATTATAACTCTAGTTTTCTGTGCTAGAAGGCAAATGGGTATTTGTGGGATTCCCAGTACAAGGACCAAGGACAGAAAGTTTGCTTTCCATGCAAAATCCATTTTTAGTTAGCATTTGCAGAAGGAGATATAATTCTGTCTGTTCTACTTGTCTGGGTTTAAACTGTTTGTGAAACTGTTGAAACACGTGATGTTTAAAAGGCATAAGCCATAGTTATGGAATGCCCTAGAAGCAGCATTACATATTTCTGGTGTGCATTCAACAAGCACACTAAAGTGTTTCAGATGTTCTTCTGGGTTTGAGCATAGCTTGTTTTTACCACAGTGCTTAGAAAATAACAACTTTTTTCTGTGGTATGAGGAAAGTATCTGCAGAATGTGCTTTATTCCTGGCAAGTTTACTGTAGTGACAGTTTTTATGATGCTTTATAGAATATTATGGTAACAGCAAGGTTCTTTGATTAAACGACAGACCATTCTCTGGTGAAATACATTGTTTTGTAACTCACGCAGATAAGCACCTGAAGTTTAAAACTATATTTGCATAATATACATAATTTTCAGGACAAACTTGCCTTTTTTTGAGGGATTGATATGTATAACTTACTCTGATGTAAAATTAACCCTGCTGAATAGGGCCATAGTGATTTTAAGAACTCATATGTATAAAACTGCTTGACCACTTTGGTCCTCATCTTACAATGTTTTGTGTTTTACATTGTACATAGTGTTCAACAATAACAATATCTTATTCTTAGAATAATGGCTGGTTTTATGCATAGTGGTTCCATCATCATCATCATGGCTAGGCTTCCATATTGCTTTGGTATCTTACGAGATAATTATTTCAAGTTGATATTCTTGCCTTTTCTTGTTAATTGGTATCTACACATAGTTTGAAAACTAATAATGTAAATTAGTAATGTGTAGTAAGAAACCTGAGACTGGTTTCTTGTTTGTTTCTCCCCCCAGTTTGTTGCCCAGTCAAACTGCCAGCAGTTCCTGAACACGGTGTGGTTCGGGCAGATGGCCGGCTATCGCCGCAAGCACACCTGCAAGAAGATCTTGACTGTTTTGATGGTTGGCATTTTCTGGCCAGTTCTGTCCCTGTGTTACTTGTTAGCTCCTAAATCTCGAGTTGGTCGAATGATTCACACTCCTTTTATGAAGTTTATTATTCATGGAGCTTCATATTTCACGTTTCTCTTATTACTTAATTTGTACTCCCTTGTCTACAATGAGAATAAGAAGAATACAATGGGACCAGCCCTTGAGAGAATAGACTATCTTCTGATAATCTGGCTAATTGGTAGGTGTGATTTGAGTGTATTGGAAGACAATTGCTGATGTTGATGGCACAGTAATGACTTGTGTAACCTTCTTAGGAAACCAGCATGTTATTCATGTTGTATATGTTTATGTCTGCATGCATACCCCATCTTAGTCTAATTAATTGAAGGTGTGCATTTACCTCGTGCTTGTTTTAAAACACAGAAACAAGTAGTATTTTCTCAAGGTATGGTTTTCCATTTCTGAATGTCATTGCCACTGATTATCATAACTACTGGAAAGGCTGCATGTCAGTTCTGGTTGATGCAGCAGAGGGAGCACAGGTATCATTTTTGTTGAGTTCTCAGGAACTTTCAGTTGAAAATTCATAAAACTTTTTACCATATTTTTGGTTGGATGGCATGTGTTTGTTTTTACATTAAAATTTACCTTAATGTGATGATTAGATATGTATCATTTGTTTGACCAGACTCATAAGAAGCAATGACATGGTAAAAAAAAACAACAGATTTTTTATCTAAATAGTTCTGGGTGATTTATTTGATGTTTTAGGGTGGGGTTTTTTGTGTAATGGTGATTTCTTTCACTGTTGAGCTACATGAAAAATGTTGAGTAGTTCATGCAGATTTTGGAAATACTCAGTACCCCCCACAAACACAGGCAGGTCTTAAAGCTTGAAAACTTCAACTTTTGAATGCAAAACAGATTCCTCTTTTACTTTGAGATTAAATATCTGATTTTAGAAATGATTTTGTTCCATCAAATCTACTGTAGATGAAGTGTGTCCTTAGGTGGTCTTGACTATAAACATTTTATTTTCTTCGTGTAGCATTCTAATGTGGATTTCAAGTAAGATTGAAATATGACCTCTGAGCAACATAATCATTAAAATTGGGTTACTTTTCACATTACTGAATCTTAACAGATTTTTAAAATAGTAATTGCATTTATAGCTTAAATGCTTTTTTTGTAATGACATATTGTACTTATTATTTACAAATATTCAGTAAGTTGAAAAATAATGTATTTAGAAAATGTGTTACAAAATCAGCTGGAATAAAAAGAACCAAGTAACAAGGATTCACCATATTCCATTTTCCGAATGATATTCCATAGTTCCATTAAAATGCGTTCTAAAAACCAATGTCAAAATGGCCACAGCAGAATTTCTAACACATAAAGTTAGTAGTAAGTTTTGTGTTCTTCTAGGTTAACTTTCAAAATCAAGAATAAAGTAATTTTCTAATTTATTGAGCGTAAATCATACAAGTGTCTTCCACAGGAAAATAAAGCAACAGAACTCCAGTTCTTGTGTGTGTAAATAACATCACCTGTAGCATCTTCTCCATCTCCTTTTACTGATTCTGTAACAAATTCACTGTAAAATACATGGTGATTGTATGTAAAAAAATATCTGTTCAGTACAATGGCTTCACTTCCCTGGGTTTTTCTGTTTTTCCTGCAGGAATGGTGTGGTCAGATGTTAAGAGACTCTGGTATGAGGGTTTAGAAGATTTTTTAGAAGAATCCCGTAATCAGCTTAGTTTTGTCATGAACTCCCTGTATTTGGCAACTTTTGCCCTCAAGGTCGTTGCCCATAACAAGGTGAGCACTTGTCTTCATAGATCCATTTCTCTGAGCACATCTGACAGTAGTGCAGTGCTGCACAGTGCAGGAAGATGTGTTACATGTGATGTCTTGGCAGCAGCAGGTTGTGGTGAAGGGCACAACATTAGCAACAGCCCTACTATGTGGGTACAGCTCAGGCTTTGGAGTTAAATGTTCTATGAGGTATATGCCATGTAGTTGTCAAGACCTCAGGTCTTGTTGCATCTTGGAGAGAAGTTGATGAGGCAGATAGGAGTTAGACATGTCCGAGTACTTGGAGACCTCAAACAGAGCTACTGTCTTCCTTGTAAGAACTGGCTGGTCTTCCAGGGGCTTGATTTTTGTTCAGGGAAGTGCATTTCACCTGATGTGGCATTTGAGCTTGCCCGAGTCCATAGTACCATACAGAAAGCTAAGAGTAATCTCTGCATTTGGATTGCCTAATGCTATTTTGTTACAGAAAGTTTTATTTAGCTTTTGATTACATATACTCAAATGTCCTAAGTGGTCGTGGGGGGATTTTTAATTGGTTTTTGGCTTGGTGGGGTTGTTTTGGTTGGAGTTTTTTATGGTAGTAAGGATAAAAGCCCCGAGACCATAGAGGAGCCTTGTCTTTCTCTATGAAAAGCCATCTGGATTTGGTTGAAGATGTGAGTTTTGCAGACCATCATTGCCATTCTGTTGCATGTGTTGTTTGCCACACAGCATATGGCAAGCTGCCAGACCAATTGAATGTGACAATTTTAGCAAAATTCAAGCCAGTGCAGTAGCACCATTATTTTATCTTGCAAACTGTAAGTTGACAGCTGTCTGGCAGTTGGGAGGGAAATAAACTGGTTTAGTTCTTCCCAACTTGGTGTTTGGCTCATTTCCCTATCCTTGGATTGATTCAGAGACTGGTAATCACTTGGAAAGGAAGGCTCCATTTCTTGGAAAAAAAAATAGAGGGAGAATGCCATGTTGGGCTGCCTTCCCAGCCATTTGCTTTGCAACCAGCATGTCTCGAGTAGCAGTTCCTTTGCTGAGATAAGAGCCCTTTGCTGCTAATTCGAGTTGTAACCTTTGGGAAGATGCAGGACTCCTATGTAACAGGCACATAATGGTTTTTTTGCCACTGTTATATGACAAAATTTATTTTTATGGTTTATAAATCATTTAGGAATCCAAATAAAAATGTTTGTCTTACATCTTGGGTCCATGTTATAGGCACTTAAGCTGTAAGAAGTAAAGGAAGAGTCTCTGTAGCAGGAGGATTTGTACACATGCAAATGCAATATATGAAAACATGTTTATCCCTGTTTCTTGCCATCTTTATGCAGCAGATTTTTGGGCAAGTTATTTTAAAGCAGCTTTGAGTTCCTTAGTTTTTGAATGTCGATTTTGAGGCAGCAGAAGCTGGTAATATAAATGCTGAGTGCTTTCAGCCAAGCCGAAAGTTGGGATCTGTGGATATTCCATGAATAAGTTGAATAGTAGTACCTAGTGGATAGTACTTGAAGGGTGTGTTTACATCAACAGTTTATTTGTGACTTCCATTCTCCGTAGCCATTCACAAAATCTGTTGAAGGAACCCCAAGTCATAAGTGTTTCTAAAGCTGGTTAAGGTCAGCTGTCACCATGTTGCAATCGCACCTGTGTGTGTTAGTTTTCTTTACAGCATCTTAATGTTGTTTTTGACTGAGGCCTGTTATACACATATGCACATGTTTATGAAGTACATGAGTCCCTGTTTCAACAAAGCATGCAAAACAGAGGAGGCAGAATAGAGGAATAAATGGTTTCAACAAGTGAGTGGCAGAGTTAGGTGTTGAATTTAAATTGTCTGATTTCTGGCTCCCTCTGGAATGCCTTTTAAACTGCCTTTGTCTAAAAAGAATGAAATTTCTAAAAGAGGTGAGACATGAATGATACATGTTAATTTCTTTTATGCTCTTGCCTGTTTTGGAGGCAGAAGTAGGGAGTGGTTCATGGCTGCATTTCTGTATTTGTAATGTCACTGATCTCTGTTTGTCCTTTTCATGTTTCAGTTCCATGACTATGCTGAAAGGAAGGACTGGGATGCATTCCATCCTACCCTAGTAGCAGAAGGACTTTTTGCTTTTGCTAATGTTCTTAGTTACCTGCGTCTCTTCTTTATGTACACAACCAGTTCTATTCTGGGACCACTCCAGGTGAGTATCATTTCTGCCTGAGAAAACATTAAACCTAATTTGCCATCAAGAGTCTTATTGAGAATAAATGAAAAAAAGTTAAGTAGGAAAGTGAAAAGTAGAAAGAAGTGATACTGCATTGAAGTTTGATTTTTTTTTCAATCTCTCATGTAGAACATGATTGAGATGGGAAAAGGTAAGAAAAAGAGTGAAAGACCTTGTGTAGTTCACTTTCTTATGATATTTTTCCATGATAACTGTAATTATACTGTCTTTTTGTTTTCATCTGTTGTAAGCTTAACATACTGCATAAGTGTCCACAGTTTGAAAAGTGTAAGGATCATTTTCTTCTTGAAAGTTGTATACAATAATTGGCTTAACTTCTTATCTCTAAAGAGATGGCTGAATGAGGTGTGTAGCAAGGAAGAGCTATCAAAAGCCTTTCTGGTTTTGTCTGTGATCTCATTGAAGCTGCATGTTGAGTTGTGCACGTTGCTTTTGTTTGAAAAATAGAAATCTCTCAAGAGTATTGAAATAATCATCTATTTATTGGCAGTTATAAGAAGGGAGAACAGGTTTCTTACAAATTCTTACTTGGAATTTGCTGGAGCCTTCCCGTGAGTAATGATGAGAGTAAAAACCCCCACGTTTCAATGACATAATTTTCTGTTATACATTTTAGGTGGAAATGTACTTGCATACTTTGAAAAAAATACTAAAGTCTTGATGTTGCATTAAGCATTAGGCTTGTTGTACAAATTGATTGAACGCTGAAGTCTCTCCACATTTTAAAGAGATTCACTGTTTTATGTGTATATTTATTTATGTACTAGAACTTGCACAAGTTTTTATTAGGAGACTCTGTTATGAAATTCTCCAAGTAAATAAAAACAGTCAACAGTGCCCCATTCAGAGGCACACAGGAGCTTATGTTATTACTGTTGGCCAGTAGGGCTGGTGCAACAACTCCTACAGTATTTTCTGAAAGTAGGTCACAAAGTTCAAATGGTGGTAATCAAATATGGCATGGAAACCCAGCAGTGGGGGTGGGGGAAGGCAGCTACCACGGTCTCTTGGCTATTAGAGTTATTTTTAAGCATTCACTTACTTGACTCATTGGTTAGTAAAACCTATTATAATACAGATTTGTAAGTTGGCTGTGTGTGGTGGTTTTTTATTAACAGAAGGTAGAATAATATTCCCCTAGATTAGATAATTAGATTTCAGATGCTTAGAACTTGTAAATGCTTAGAGAGGGCAAGCATGAATATATGAAGAAAGCAACTGGCATTTGGGATGGGTATTACACTCTGTTCCAAACAAAATAGTTTGGGTGGTTTGCACTTCTTATGTGTTCCTGTTTCATCTACTTTGTCTCTCTCTTGGCTGGGACTGTGTAGATGTGTAGGGTAGATGTTTTGTTGTTGGGATTTGGGTTGGGTTATTTTCCATTAAAGGCTTAGATGTGACCAAAAAATAGGATGGGGATGACAGTCATCCTGACTGATGTGCATATAACTGGTGCACAGCTCTGCTACACTTGCAGGGTCTCCCTGACTGTGACAAACTGTACAGACTCAGGGTGTGCTGTGCTGCAGGGGGGACTCGGGGAGTTCCCAGCAGCATGGGAGGGAGCAGGAGCAGGAGTTCATCTCCCAGTGAAGTTGTACTTGCAAAACCTGAGCTGTGTTACAGTTCTGGACTATGATTTGGTACAGTTTTGATTCATACAGGATTAGGCTTTCCACATGCTGATTTATATAGAAGATTACATTGACCCAATCCTTTTTTATATATTTGCATTCTTTATAATGATATATTGCTCTCAAGAAGTTCTTAGGAACAGTAATTAAATTATATAAACAGTTTATGTTGTGTCTGTGTAAAAATTTATCCTTATGTCAAAAGCAAAGTCTTTTCTGTGTTGGAAAAAGGCATAAGCATATATTGTAACTTTTTTTAAAGATGCTGTTGTACTAATGTTGCGAAGTTCTGTATAGGATATTTTGAATTGGAAACTAATGATCAGAATTTCCTGTCATACCTTCTATACTTTATCCTTCAGTTTTTATGTGCTTACACACACGTTTATTTAAAATCTTACATAGAATGTACAGTAAATTAATACTGTATTCTGCAGATGGGCTTTGGTATACTACTTTTAAAATTTTTTTTATTAGCGATGAATTATGATTCCAAATATTTTGATTAATTCAGTGGCCTTATAAGTATTTTCTTAGCTTTCTATGGTGGCATTTATGTTCACATGCATTTCATTTACTGCTTTTGTCTGTTGTCTTGTGAGTTCCTTACTACCATTGGTACTGCAGATAAATACTAAGGTCTAAATACCATTGCTTACGGTTATATGTAGGATATTAACTTATCAGGTGATGTTAAAACTACTTACATTTTCTTTTTAGTATCTAGAATTTTAGTTTGAAAAATAGTACAAGGATATCTCCTGATTTTGAGATCTGTTTAAGCATGTGAAAATTCAACTTAAATATTTAAAATGTAAATAGATTTTTTTTTTGCTGATTAGAGGCTGAAGGAGAGAATACAAATAATAACTACATGTTTTACTAAAATAGGAAATAAATCTATTTCACAGATTTCAATGGGGCAGATGCTGCAAGATTTTGGAAAATTTCTGGGCATGTTTCTTCTTGTCTTGTTCTCATTCACAATTGGATTGACACAACTTTATGATAAAGGATTTACTGTAAATGAAGAAAAGGACTGTGCGGGTATTTTCTGTGAACAACAGAGCAATGACACATTTCATTCGTGAGTCTGATATCTATAAAATAGCTGATTGTTTTACCCCTTACTCTTTAGTAATTAAACAAAATTGGAATTTTTCAATGAACTTGAATTTTACATTAAAAACTTTTGGTGTTTGCTTTCCCTAACCAGATTTTTGTTTTTCTTGGTTTTGCAGGTTCATTGGCACGTGTTTTGCTCTGTTCTGGTACATATTCTCCCTGGCACATGTAGCAATTTTTGTCACACGTTTCAGCTATGGTGAAGAATTACAGTCATTTGTGGGGGCTGTTATTGTTGGTACCTACAACGTGGTGGTTGTGATAGTATTAACTAAACTCCTTGTGGCAATGCTTCATAAAAGTTTTCAGCTGATAGCAGTAAGTGGTTTCTGATTAATTTCCAATAACTGCTTGCTGTATGTTTGGATTTGTACAAATTTCTTCCTGTGATGTGTAGACTAATCTACAGACCTTCATGGCTGAGCTCTGTCAGTGAGCTCACAAGGGTCATCTTTCTTTCAAATAAGAACTTTTTATTTATTTTGATCCAAATAAAATGGGTGCTTTGCACGTTGAACGTGTGCAGGGCTTTGGCCTGCTGGGAATTGATGACTTTCTTGATACAGTGGCTGTTCAAGATGCTGTTCTTGATATGTGTGGTGCTTTGGCATTTGATAAGGGGGTTATACCTTCATGGCTGAATTTTATACTTACATAAAGTATATAGTGAATTAAAGAGAGTGTACTTATTTTATGTCTTTAATATTATAATATTAAAACAAGCTTATTAAAATACTACGTAACCTATATCTTAAAATGCTATATAACCAAAATTAAATTATGGTCAGTTTACAGGTATGAGAAAATAAAACTTAAAAAATATCCTGTTAATATTTTTGCTTCTTTTCTCTGTTAATGTTTGTGATGCTTTAGAATCACGAAGACAAGGAGTGGAAGTTTGCTCGTGCCAAGCTCTGGCTCAGCTACTTTGATGACAAATGCACACTCCCCCCACCTTTCAATGTCATCCCTTCTCCCAAGACTATCTGTTACCTCTTCAACAGTCTCAGTAAATGGATCTGCTCTCATACATCAAGTGGCAAAGTGAAACGTCAGAACAGCCTGAAGGTAAGGAATGACTGGGAAAGCTCCAGGCTCTGAAGCTGGAGAGGTCCTGCTTGCTAAAATGAAATGTCATAAGGTGAACGCTGCTAAGATTAACACCAACTACAGAATAATGTGTATTGCATCTGAAATATAAATAAGTGGCACCTATTTCTGCTTAAGTAAGGTTCTAATAACTTTCTGGTTTGGGAATTTCAACCCAGTTCCCCCAAAAATAGTCTGGAAAAAAATGCTTTGATTGAATGAAAACACATAGAAACCTCAGGGAAGTATGTGCTAATCTCAAAAATGGTGAGGTTAGAGTATTCTTTGGGGAAGGTAATTGGTTTTAAACACATTACAGAAGTGTCAAAATAAATAACCGAAAACGATCACTGAAGCCTTTCGTTGTTGGGGGGAGGAATTTTTATTTTTTTTTCTTAAATAAACTTTTTTTGTACCCTGTAATTTTGCATACTAATTTTGCATCTTCTTGCTGACAAAAATAGCATTAAATAAACAAACTAAAACACTTCATGGAATTTGCACTGAGAGACATTCAGGACTATGGAACCTCTTAATTGCTCATAGGACAATTACCAAGACAGGTAGATAAAAAAATTTCAGTTTTGATGGTACAGCAGATTATAATTTAAATTTTGCAGGCAGTTTAGATGCATTGTATGTTTGTGCACATCGGCATGTATTTATAAAATAGCTTTGTTATTCATATTTATTCTCTGTATAGTTGTATATAGGCTTTAGGGCTCAAAGTTCACTTTTCCACGGTAAATGTGTGATGTTTGTTTAAAGGAATGGAGAAATCTGAAGCAAAAGAGAGATGAGAATTACCAAAAGGTGATGTGTTGCTTAGTCCACCGTTACTTGACTTCCATGAGACAGAAGATGCAAAGTACGGATCAGGCAACTGTGGAAAACCTCAACGAGCTGCGGCAAGACCTGTCGAAATTCCGCAATGAAATGAGAGACCTGCTTGGCTTCCGCACTTCTAAATACGCCATGTTTTATCCAAGAAACTAAAGCCTAGCTTGTAAACAAGAAGTGTGTACTTTCAGATACCTGTAGGTAAAAGTGCTGCCCTAATTCTGTTGCCAGATCATATCAACGAGATATTGCACAAAAATACATTTCAAAATGCATTTGCATGAGTCGCAGCTGCAGCAGAGTGGTTGAAATAAATGCAAAATCAGATATAGTAATTTTCTTAGGCTTTCAGTGTGTATATAAAATTTGTATATAGGAGTTTTTTAAATGTTCCTCAGAGCGTGGCTGTCAGGTGTCAGAGCTTCATAACTAGCACAACGTCTTTCTTTCTTCTATTTTTGCTGTTTGTTCTTTTTTGATACTTCTTTTTCAAGTTGTGGGGGAAGATAGGCTTTTTAAACAAAAATCCAGCCTACGTTTATTTTTAATAGAAAAGTCAGATATAGAATAATAGAAAATTTCCAGCACAGTTGGAAATTATGTTTGACTGTAGGTTACAGTGCACGGGGAGACTGTATGGCTCTGAAAGAGGCAGTTCTAGTTTTGTATGTTAACGTTGACTGTAACATTTATAGAATACAGCACATCAAGTCATCAAGACTCTTCCCTTTCATGGGAACACTGACATTTTGAACACAAAATAGACCAACTATTTCTTGAATGTTGATGGTTATATATAAGACAATCAATCCCTGCTTGGATTTTTCAGCAGTGCCTCAATAGCACATTTTAATATATGTGCTAAGATTGGGAACAGAATTTTAAAACTAACCTGTGCACATTTAATGTTTGATGTCTTGGGGTTTTAAAATCTGGATAATAAATTATTTGAATTATTAGAACCTGTGATTTAATGAAAGTGAGGTGGAGCACATGAGTGCTGTTGTTTGCAGTGCTGAACAATTCCTGTGAAACATTCTATGCTTGTTTCTGTGAGATCATTGAGTCTGGTCATTGGAGAGATGTACTTCAGAATGGTCTGCTTAACACAGGTTTTACATATCCTACTTTAAACTTTTTTTTTCTTTTTTCCTGTTTTTTACCACAATTGTTGCCAAGCTAGAATTTAGTTTATGTCAGGAATACTATGTTTTGTGAAAACATTGATCTGACTTTGCTTACAATGGACAGTAAGGGCTTTGTGGATTTTCTGTGCTAGAGGGTCCTTTATATGCTTATATATATATATTATTCAAGCTGAAAAATTGTAATTGAGAAATGTGAGATTCCTGTATTTTTAATTACAAAATAAGTATATTTATGACAGCTAAAGGGTTGACTGACAATTTTGTTGTTATGATGGTGCTGTTCTAAAATGGCTGTATGGCCAGAAGGCGCAGGCAGCCAGAGTGGTCTTTGACTACAGTAGATTTGGGGAGATTGATGGAGTGGAGGCTCACACGAATGTTTACTTTTTTGAAGGAATTCTTATAAAACTCTTTCTTGTAAAGGTAATATATTTTCTGTACTATGACATTATGTATTTCTGAACTAGGTTTTAATACTCTGCTTCCAGAAATGTTACAGTCTAGAGGGATTCTGATACTTGATTTCATGTGAATAGGAAGTTAACCTCTTGGTTCAAAGCAAAGAGGATCACTGAGTTTTGTATTTGGACTCAGATCTCATGTCTGGATGATGCACCAACATAAAATCTATGTGCTGTCTGTGTTACATAGATCCAAAAAAGGAAGCAGACAAATAAAAGCTCTTTGAAAAATGTGGTTGTATTAATATTAGTCATATTGCAAACACGTTATATCAGGTACCACATTGAAAGTAATTTGTCATGTCAAGGTAGTAAGTTTAAGGAAGGTAGCTGGTGTCAGTGTGTTACTGCCTTTTTTCCTCCTGGACTCATCCTGTTTGGTTCGTTGAAATGGCATCATCCAGTGCCATGAAGAGATGCTTGAGCTGGTTCCAGACTAGCTAGGCTGGATCCTAGGACCATTATTAGCTGTTTGGCACTGGGCTCATGCTGGTTGGTTGTGGGAAGCTGGGTATGTTGAGAGTATGACTGAAGGAGCTGATGGACTGACTGCTTTTCAGATGTTCAGCAGAGTCACTGAGAGCCAGCTTTGGGGTCATTGTCTTGTGGCACAGTGTCCTACTACAGTGTGGATGTCCTTAAGAAGAACTGTTGTACTTTAAGGCTCTTTTGGGGTGTTTGGCTGGGAACTGGGGGTCCTGGAGTTTTTATTTGTCACTGAAATGCATACCTGTAAAGTGATGGGGACCAGAGAGAGAGGTTTGTTCTCTGTTATACCTTAGTTACATAACATTTTGCATCTGTTTTGTTTGAAAGCTGTTGTAGTCTTCCTGTCTGCTTGGCTGCTAATCAGTACAGAGTGCTAATTACCCAGTCTTGTCTCATTCTGATTTTCCTAGTTCATATGTGTTAAACATTCTATTGCTTTCTTATTTGGCAGTTTAATACTGGCTGTTCCAGTATTGTTGGGGATCCAAGATCTCCTTTATGCCCACTCACAGAATAGTTCTGGACATGCAGAGGAACGAAATTTTAGATGTCACAAAAAAAAGTTTGGAGAAGCTGGAGTTTACTTGGCTGTAGAATTCAGAATGTTCTTGTACAAATGTTAGCGCAAGTCATAAAAGTACTGAGTTGGTTTTTTTAAGCTGAAAAAGGTTGATCTTTATTCCCTTTCATATTAATGTGTGTTTTGTCTTAAAGCTAACTTTGCCTTGATGAATGAAAAATGGAGATGGAAATTTTCATGCCACCTGTATTTGCAACAGAAAGGTCAAAACCACTCATTACTGAAAGTAAAAGCTTATTTTATGTTCTTGCTGAACTGTAATTTTGATTGTTATCTCCGTAGAAATTATTTCAGAAATGGTATTGTGGTTAGATAATTTTCATCCTGTTTGGTTGCAGGTTGGGTTTTAAATGTTCAAAGTTTAGAGTCAACTACAACCTGCTTTCAAAAACTTGTGATAGTTGTTACCTGTGTTTTGTAACCAACTCATACTTGATAAAACTGGCAGTGCTCCGTGTTTCCTGTTCCCTGTTTCAGGCCTACTGCTGCCAGTGCATTGATTTGGGAAAGGAACTGGTCTAAAGGGAATGTTAAGAAGAGCATGCAGGAGCTTTCCTTACCTGCCATTTGGTAGACGAGGAATAGACTGCCAAACCCTTCTTGCCTCACTGGAAAAAGCAGCCTAACAGATGGGCATGTCATCATAAATAAAAATAGATTATTGTAGTTCAGGGTAGTTCTGAGCATGATTTCCACATTGCTCCTCCCCAGGCTGCTGCCAAGAAATGCAGAGAGCACTGTGCATAAAACCCCTTAACCTGCATAGGAATCAATGCTGGAAAATTAAGATTTTAGTTTAAAAGTTAGAAAACTACATCTGCTTTGCAAACAAGTGTTGCTGTCGGTTCCACAGAGAAATGCTGTTTGGTTTGGTCAGTCAGGCGATCTGTGAAGTGGGGTTGCAGCACTGAGCTGTTGGATGTGAGCTGCCAGCACAGCCTCTTTGTACCTCTGTGCCTCCCTCTGGTCCTTTTGTTCCCTGCCCAGCTACCCATAAAGTCCTTGGAACAGATGCTGCTGCACTACTGAGCTGCACCATGGCCATGTCTCTTGGCATTACATGTGGGAGTCCCTAATGGAAGAGAATGGTAATCTGCATTCCACTGCTGAAATAAGCAATGGGGACTTCCAGCAGGGACTGTGTATTCCATTAGTTTTCCTGCCCATGGTTGCAAATTATCCAAAGTACTCTGGTCTGGTATTTCTATACAAGGAAAACAAGTACTTAAAGGGATTTTGGATTCTATTCCATCCATGTTGTTCTTATTAGTATTCAGGTTTTCCTAGTTTAAACAGATATTTCATATCTGCTTTTGACAAAAATGTTCTTCAACTTCTCAGTATTATTCTTTACTTGTAAGCTGTTTCTGTTCCTCCACAGAAGATTATAGATTTGATTATAAACTTTCAGAGTAACAAATAACTGCATACAACAGACAGGCCAACAAAGACACTGTAACACTGTCTAACTGCTTCCAGTCTGCTCACTGTTTAGTCTCAAAATAGCTATTTGTTCAACCTTTTGCATATAGGCATGAAATACATTAGACAGATATGCTCCTATTTACGCTACTGGTGCCAGACTGAGCACTGCTGTATTGTCTGTCCTTTCATGGGAGAGATGAAAACATACACTGTTTGCATGTGTACTTTACCACCACTAAATTAATTCCTACCTTCCTCCTCCCTAATTACCTTACAGAACTTATTAGTGACATTTACTAACTAGACAGTCATCAGTGTGAAAAGCATGGTGCTGTTTTACAGTTCTCTAAGTCTTTGAAGAGTAAATCCAGTTCTTGTTCAAATCAATGATTCACTGACTTCCCTGTAAGGCAAATCAGGCAAGGAAGTGTCAGTCAGACTGTGCAGGACCCAAACCATCAAAAGCATGTAAATTATCAAAAAAGAGTTTCTATGTTTAGCCTGCCCCACCTGATAAATAATTAATAACTAGTTGGTGTATGATTTAATCTTAAAATATTTTATTAAGCACAGGTAATAATGCAGAAATCCATGTGATAAAAAACCTTTAGAGAAAAAGCGAAGTTAAAATCAGTTGCTATAAATATTGCACTTAGAATTTTTATTTTACATACACAACTCCTTAAAAAAATTGGACAATTATAAATTAACATCTTCCAAGTAATTGGAATTTGTATGTTTGAGATCAGATGGCTATGCTGCAAATCTTCAGCATTAAGACTCAGGAGGATCTGTTCTCGTCCTGTACCTGTAATGGATTTCACTTTGTGCCAGCTGTGCTTGGGTGGATGGGAGGGAAGGAAGGGTCAGCGTGGTCTTACTGTTGACAGTCAGTTGCATTTTCATGACTTACACTAAGTGAAAATTATTTTTCAAGACAGATGAGAGAATGCAGCTGTAGAGTTCAGTTTTAACACGTTTTGTTTTTCAAGGCATTTAGGATCTTTGAGTTCTTAGCCTTAAAACTCATGACAAAACTGTTGGGAAAGACTTTGCCTCTACCATCTTCTTCTACTTGGCCCATGATGATGTAGTTTAAACCTACAAAGGACAGAATGAGATTACAAGACAGAAATCTGGGATGTCACTTGGTAAGTACAATTCCTTACCTGTGATCTCTGTTCATTTGCATTGGATTTTTTCAATGCCTTCTCATATTTTTCCTTCTACCTAAAGCAAATACTTCCTTACCCATCTTTGCCATGCTTGTTACACCATAAAGTACAGTTAGGCACAAATCAAGTAGATACACTGCTAACTAATATATAACAATCATTAAATATATAGGGGATAGTCATTAAATGTAGACTGTCAAAGAGTCTGAAAGGCATCAGAAGTGCAACATAAATGCTGGATAATTTAGGCACCAACACCCAGAGTGGAATGTGTCTCATTCATTTCAATATTTGCACACTTGCTTAGATTGTATGTTAGTGGCCATAAGAGATAGTGCACTTAAACCTTTGCATTCCGTTTTCCTCCCCAAAGACAGAAACATTTTCTAGATGCATAGAGAGGCAGTCAGGCAAGCAAGGTGGACTCAATGTGTGACAGAACCTGGCTTTGGAGGAATCAAGTGGATTTGCATATTTTTATGGCTCAGAAGGGTTAGGGGTTTGCAAGGCCTTAGGCTGGAAGGATTTGTGTCATAGGGATATAAACAGGGAAGTTTAGATATTAAGTAAAGGCCATTAAATAATTCATAGATATTTAGGATGAGAAACACAAGTGTGTGGTTTGGAGCCAGCAGTCTGTGTAAAAGGAGACAGTTGGTTCCACCCAGGACATTATTATGTCTCCCAGTGTCTAGTTGCCAGATAACTACAGGCAAAAGCTAGTTTCTGATCATGATTTTTCACTTTGTTACTGCCCATCTTGAATTAATATGCTTAAACAACAGTACTATCTGGAACACTACCAGGGGTTTTTTAATGCTTAATAAATTATTTTGAATGTTTCCTGCTATGGTTCCATTTATGTAAAAACAAAATCTATTTGAGCTTCATTTGAGAGAACCAAATCATATTTTACCTTGTATCACATGGCTTTTAAAGAAAAAAAAGGTTTTTCGAACTCCTTTGATCTAAGTAAGCCTGATCCTTTTTAAGTAAAACTGAAAAATGCAGCAGAAACCTGAATTACTGGTTATTTTTAGCTTAAATTGATTATTTTACTGATTATAGAAACAATTGCTGTAATTTTACTAATTTTTGTGGCCATATTTCAAAAAGTAGTTTTCAAAATTGCTGTCTTTATTATAAAGACACAAAGCAGTTATTGTTATGTACTTACCTCTCCTGATGAGAGGACACTGCTTACATACAACAAGAATCTTGGCACTCATACTCTTGCCAGCTTGTTGAATTGCTAAATTCCCCTCCTTATAGACATTAATGATGGCTATTGTTGCATGCAGGCTGCCAGCCCGGGTTATCGTTGTGATTACAGTTCCAGTTATGACTAGGAAAAAAGATGTTTGATACATGTGATACATTTATATTTTAGACATAAATTTTGTGGCATCATAAAACTTAGTAAGTGTATTAGTCCCTAATTAGGAAATAATACTGGCAACAGTTACTAAAAACATTCATATTACCTGTAATAAATAAACCACTACTGTCAAATTTTGGTGGCACCAAATATAAAATTGTAAAATGTGCCAGTCTCTTGCAAGCCCAGTTCTTGGGTTTGATAATTTCAGTTAAACAGTATGACTTTATTCTCCTTTAATGACGAATTTTAAAACATGGAGAAGTTGAACTGAAAGTGTTCTAGGCAGAAGCTGACTTACCAGCTATCTGACACTCCCAAATGAGTAGCAGGGAATAGTTCATGCCCTAGGAACTAGATTTTCATCTGTCTGAGGCCTGGTACTGATATAAATTTGTCAACTTCAGCTAAATGTAGATTACAGATTAGACATCATATCTCCCAAAGACTTCTCAGTATAAAAATAAAGATACTTTCTTTTCCCTGGGATGACCAGATTAACTCTTAAACCATCTTTGTTTATTAGAAGGAAATGGTAACTGGTATTATCTATTTGTTTTCTTCTCAGGTCACCTTTTGTAAATCAGATATTCTATCCTGGCATCAATTAGATCTTAGTAATCAGTAATCAATTAGTAATCAAGTATGTATAGCCAGATTTATTTACAAAACTGCATAATCCACATTTTGGGTTATGTGTTTGTAAATTTGCACATTATCTTTCTTTAATGCAGAGCTTTTAATTAAATAGGAGTGTTCAAGTTCAGTCAAAAAGAGACCTGTGGATGTTGAAATGCTGGGTATTGCAGCTATATTTCTAGAAACAATAAAAGTGAAATGCATGATGAAGGAAATGCTCTTATTTTCTAAATTCACAAAGTCAGCAAATAAACTTAGAATGAATCATAATCTACGAACAGCAGACTTCCTATTCTTACCTTAGGATATGCTTACATTCACAGTAGCATATCAAATATCTTTACTCTCAGTCCTGCCATGGAAAAAACTGAAAAATGTCAAGTATTTGATAACAGGTGAGACAGGAGAATGTGATTTATTACCCTGATGGTAGAGGAAAAAAACAAGTTTTTTATAGTGTCATTTACCATCAGCCACAAGTGAGGTGTGGGTAAGAGGAGACCATTTCTGGTTTGGGATTTTTTTCCTACCTGCTTCTTTTCGTCTTGGACCAGCCTGTACTGGTGGCAAAACAGGCTGGTGGTCAGGGGTGGTAAGGGGTCCCCTGACTCCATCCTGCCTCAGGGAACAGCTCCAGC